TATCTGAAGATAACTCAATTGCATTTGCAAAATTTTGTCATCAACATTCCTCACATGCAATCCATTGGATTGAAAAGGAACAAAACTTGACCTGGGAATGGAAAAAGTTCTATTACCCCAATTTCTAAATCAAGCGTTCTTTCAAACGCTACACTCGAGTGGCAATTAAATCTGAAATCAAGTCCCTGCTGACTGGAACAACTCAAGATTACTGGGTGATTAGCCATTTTCCTGAGCCAAAATCTAAACTACTAAAAGAAGACAATGGTGAGACTCAAGGAGAGAAATGGTTGGAATTGCTGTCAGAAATACTCAAGGTCACCCCAGCAGAAGACAGGAAGCAACTGCAAGAACTTGTCCAAAAAGAACATATTTTCTTGATGGACCAAGAAAATCCAGCTGAGGAAAAATTCCATCAATTGGCAAAAACTCACTCTGAGAGAAACATCCATTGGCTTCAGCTGACTCAGAAAAATGATTTTCCAATACAGTGGCGTGCCTCTTCTAAAACACTAGAACCGTTGCTTCCTTATTTTGACAACAGTAAACGGGAATTTTGCGTGAAAATGAGGAAACTTTAGCAGAACTACCTCAAAGGGTCAAAATCATTTCTGGTGAACCTGGGATGGGTAAATCAACTGCTCTGGATCACTTGGCCATACAACAAGCTCAACAGGGAAGATGGGTTTGTTGAAAGAATTGAGCAGGGAACTCTTTATCCATGCTTTGGGTGCAGAAGAATCCAACCAAGTCCCACTTGTTTTGCTGGATGGATTTGATGAAGTGGGCAAGGAAATTCAGGATAAAACATTACAGTTGCTGCATTTCCTCAAAGACCAGAGCAAGGCTGAAGTGTGGATCAGCAGCAGAAAAACCCACATCGACAAGTTGGAAAATGAATTGGCTCAATTGGCCACTGAATTTATCCCACTTTTGCCTCCAGAGCAACAACAGCTTTTGAGACAGTTCTGGAAAAATAGTTTACAATTAAACTATTCCCAAGAAGAATTGAACAAGTTCAGTTATAGGATTTTTTCTGAAGAATTGCTCAAGAAGGCGGAACAATCTTTAGGCCCAACCATTGGGCAATTTATAGGCATTCCTTTGCAGCTGCGGATTTTGGCTGAAGTTTATTTGCCTGATTTTGAAAAGAATCGTCAGGTTTTAGATTCTGATCAATTGAAGGCACTGTTTGAGAACCTAAATCCTTTTACCCTCTATACAAAATTTGTTGACAGAAAACTGAACATCTACTTTCAAGAAAAAAACAAGATTGATCATGACGAAACACGAGATAGTTTGAGGGAAACCTATCTTGAAGCACATCAAAAATTGGCATTGAAACTATCATTTGAGGAACATTCAGAAGAAGGTCAGGATATACGAAAGGATATCTCAAATGTTGGGATTGTGCAATTAATTAATGGAAAGCATGAATTTAACGTACTTTGGAAACACCGTATGAAACAGTGGTTTATACATCTTGTAGTCGATAAAGACCTTGTTTTCGTCTTTCTACTTTTTGTTAAGTTACTTTGTGTCGTGGACAAAGATTTTAACGAACTAGAGCCTGAGAAACCAGTTGTGCGCCTCTTCCTGGAGAACCATTTGATTAAAAGGATCTTGGGGGAAAAAAAAGTGTTACACCCATTGGGTCATAAACTATTTCCTTACTATGACAGAAACTCAGGCACACTTGCAGCACTGAATAATGCTGCTGGAGAGGGTCATATACACATCCTTGAATTCATATGTCAATGCTTTAGTGAACAGCACAAAGAGACCATGAAAATGCTAATACGTGGAAAAAAAAACAAAGTCACCCCACTACACCTTGCTGCACGAAATGGTCATAAGAAGATGGTGGAAGCATTGCTTGGAAAAGGTGCTGCTGTTGATGCAAGGGAAGAAAGAAACTCAACCCCATTACACATTGCTGCACAAAATGGTCATAAAGAGGTGGTGGAAGCATTGCTTGGAAAAGGTGCTACAGTTGATGCAAGGGGGGTGAAGAACTACACCCCATTGCACCTTGCTGCGCAATATGGTCATAAAGAGGTGATGGAAGCATTGCTTGGAAAAGGTGCTGATGTTGATGCAAGGGAAGAGGACAAGTGGACCCCATTACACATTGCTGCACAAAATGGTCATAATGAGGTGGTGGAAGCATTGCTTGGCAAAGGTGCTGCTGTTGATGCAAGGGAAGATAAAAACTGGACCCCATTACACTTGGCTGCATATAAAGGTCATAAAGTGGTGGTGGAATCATTGCTTGGAAAAGGTGCTGCTGTTGATGCAGAGGAAGAAGACAAGTGGACCGCATTACACTTTGCTGCACAAAATGGCCATAAAGAGGTGGTGGAAGCATTGCTTGGATATGGTGCTGCTGTTGATGCAAGGGAAGAAAGAAACTCAACCCCATTACACATTGCTGCACAAAATGGCCAATTTCTCCACCACCTTCGTAACGAACCTTATGGTGCTGCTGTTGATGCAAGGGAAGAAAGAAACTCAACCCCATTACACATTGCTGCGCAATATGGTCATAAAGAGGTGATGGAAGCATTGCTTGGATATGGTGCTGCTGTTGAAGCAAGAGAAGAAGACAACTGGACCCCATTACACTTGGCTGCAAAAAATGGTCATAAAGAGGTGGTGGAAGCATTGCATGGAAAAGGTGCTGCATTTGATTCAAGGGAAAATGGAAAATGGACCCCATTGCACATAGCCGCAAAAAATGGTCATAAAGAGGTGGTGGAAGCATTGATTGGAAAAGGTGCTGCTGTTGATGTAAGGGATGATAAAAACTGGACCCCATTACACCTTGCTGCAGAAAATGGCCATAAAGAGGTGGTGGAAGCATTGCATGGAAAAGGGGCTGCTGTTGATGCAAGGAATGATACAAACTGGACACCATTACACATTGCTGCATACTATGGCCATAATGAGGTGGTGGAAGCAATGCTTGGGAAAGATGCTGTAGTTGATGTAAGAGGAGAATACAACTGGACCCCATTACACATTGCTGCACAAAATGGTCATGAACAGGTGGTGGAAGCCTTGCTAGGAAAATGTGCTGCAGTTGATGCAAGGGATGATAAAAACTGGACCCCATTACACATTGCTGCAAAAAATGGTCATAAAGAGGTGGTGGATGTGTTGGTTCGTAATGGAGCAGATGTCAAAGCCAAAACTCAAAATGGGGCAACTCCATTACAATTGGCGGCAAAAAATCGTCATAAGAAGGTGGTGGAAGCATTGCTTGGATATGTTGCTGCTGCTGATGCAAGGGAATAAAACAACTGGACCCTTTACACTTGGCAGCACAAAATGGCCATCAAGAGTTGGTAGAAGCATTGATTAGGAAAGATGCTGTAGTTGATGGAAGAGGAGAAAATAACTGGACCCCCATTGCATTTGGCTGCACAAAATGGTCATGAAGAGGTGGTGAAAGAATTGCTTTGGAAAGATACAGATATGAATGCAAGAACTCAGGAAGGTTTAACTCCATTACATATGGCTGCATATAATGGTCATAAAGAGGTGGTGGAAGCAATGCTTCAAAAAGGTGCTGTGGTTGATGCAAGAACCAATCAAAATTAGACCCCATCACACATGGAGGCACAAAATGGTCATCAAGAGGCAGTAGAACCATTGCTCAAGAAAAGTGCTCATGACAATGCACAAACTCAAACGAGAAACTCCATTACATTTTCTGCACATAATGGTTTCAAAGCAGTGGTTGAAATATTGTGTGATGAAGGTGCTTTTGTTGATGCTAGGGAAGAAGACAAGTGGACCCCATTACACTTAGCAGTACAATATGGTCAAAGACAGGTGGTTCAAGCATTGCTACCAAAATTTGCTAATGTTGATGCAAGGGAAAGAATAAATGGCACTCCACTGCATTTGGCTACATAATATGGCCATAAAGAGGTGCTGCTAGTATTGCTTAAGAAAGATTCTGATGTCATGAAGAGGGCATGAAGAGGTGGTGCAAGCATTCCTTGAAACTGTGCGGAATTTTTTCTTGACACCAGCGGCAGTGTCAAATTCCCTGAGAAGGGACAAATAGATCGAGTTTACCAAAATTGGCGCGTCTCGGGACATGCCCGGGACTGTAAATTAATCCCCTGGGCGGGGAAACAGGCGGGATCAATTAACTTGCCAAAGTCGGCACACCAACAATATCTTAACCCCCACCCGAGAAAAGGAGCACGACCCCCAGAACCGGGACAAACAGTCGTCAAAAACGACATCTCCACTTTATCAACAGGGGGACATTGAATCCCCCCTTTTTCTTTTCCGCGAAAACAGGGGTCATCTAACCCCTCCAAAACTCACAGAAAAACTCGACCATCTGCTGGCAACGCGTCCCAAAAAATATCGTATCCTCTTCCCTAAAACGATTTATCTTCAAAAGACCAAACCTTTTCTAAACTGTCAAGGAGTACTAAAGTACCAGTAAAAGCTAAATTACTTCTACAAGCATGCTTCCTCTCCTTAATATCTTTACAAACGTTCGAAACACCCGGTCTCCGGGAAACAACAAATTCAGCCTTGTAAAAGTTCAGCAAAATCATAAAAGCCACCCGGTCCTCCAAAAATTAACTGCTAAACCAATACAGTGGTACCTCGTAGTACAAACGCCTCGTAATACGAACGTTCCGCAGAACGAACGTTTTTTTTTGTGAAAATCCATTTTTTTTACCCTCGTACTACGAACAAAATTCGTAGTACAAACGTTTTTTTTTCCCTACAAAAATCTGAAAAATTTGGAAATTTGAAATTTTTAAAAATATTTATTTAAAGGCTATTAAATAATGAAAAAATCATAAAAAATCATACAACATAATAACATTCAATTGAGAAGACATTCATGTTATTTAACATTGAACAAAATTTTAAAAATTAGCAATCACAAAAATTTATTTGAAAAATTTCAAATGAATACTGTACCACTTTTTGAGGACAATTTCCTGTTTCATATTGAAATTCATTAAAGCACTGCATCCAAGGGTGTTCTGCTAAAAAAAAACAAGTTTTAAAATTAGGCTTTGATTTAAATTTCCACAGAGGGTAGATTGCAGGTATAAAAAATATTTGTTTCCAGGGACTTTTGCTCACAGCAAAAAATCCTGGAAAACCCCTGCAATTCAGATTCTAATCCAATTGGATTAGAATTTGAATTGCAGGAGTTATGCTCAAAGTGAAATTCATTTGGAGAGAATTTTTGCTGTAAGCATAACTTCCTTAGATTAAATGGAAACAAAATTGTGGATTGAGGATTTAAACCTGTGAATTTGTGTTCAAAGGTTTAAAACACAAATTCATGATTTTAACCTGTGAATTTGTGTTTTAAACCTTTAAACCTGTGAATTTGTGTTTT